AGTGTGGCCAATTTGCAACTGTAGGCCTGATGGTGAATGCGCAGGCACCGATCCCGAATGTTGTTTCAACAATGGTGGTTACGATTGTGCGTTTCAATTTAACTAGGAGTTTCATGGGGATAGATAATGACTCGATGGGGCTCTTAATTATCTGCAATAGATGCAGACCATAGATACTAGAGTGTTCGGGTATATCCTGTTACAGTATCCGGGTATTAGTCAGATAGCTGTCTACTAATATAATAAAATGATACGATATCTAATTATTTCGTCTTCCAAGCTTGATCATTGTGACTGTGGTAATGATTTATTCTCATGTGTGCAATGTGTAATACCCATTATCTTAACAGACTGACTCGAATAAATTATACAAGAGCACCACTTTCCTCAATGGCATGATTTTCACCTGTACCAGCAGCGAAGAATTACATATAAGTTGCAACATAATCGCCCAAACCATTCCGCAGAAAATCAGAGCTCGAGGCATACGACTATAGAGTCTACTCAGCAATGAGAGCAACCTTAACACCATTCCGACTACTTGTTGAAACCCTCAACTCTTCCAGCCATTCTTCCACCTCATCTCTACACTCCAGATACTTTCGTTTCTGTGCCTCGCGTGCTAACGTGTACGCAATTTCTATTTCTGCAAGGTGTTGAGCAGGACATGTACGAATGCCCCATCCAAATGGTATGTAGGCTGCTCCCGAACGGAGAGATGGATTTTCCCAGCGGGACTGGAGAGATCTTTAGTCAATTCAGGAGTGCGAGATGCCATTCGAGCGGAGAGAGAGGTCTTTTATGATTGGATGGGTGATAGAAAACTGGGGGAGCTGAATTTAGGAATGCCTTCATGAATGTTGATTCGAATTTCCCAAGGTTCGGAAAGAAAAAAGGAATTCATTCCAGATTGAACAATAAGATTGCAAAATCGGAAATACATCAATTGGATGTTGGTTTCATCAAGAACATCGAAAACTTGGGGGTTGACTATCAATCCGTGCACCCACTGATGGGTTCGGTGAAATGCTTTGGAGATGTACGTTACATGGCCTGGATAGAGTGTGGCGATGGGGAATGAAAATTCTGCTCGACTTACGGGGATGAACTTATCTCCATTTGACTGGAAGAACTCTGCTAGACTATGAAGACTATACAGAGGGGTGCTAATCACGGTGCCTTTTCGAACAAAGATGGGAGATTTGCCATCGAGACCGACACCTCTCGGAAGGACCCCATCCTTGTATGCTTTTCGTGAACCGATACTAGCTACCGGATAAAGGCGAAGTGCTTAAATAGTGGTTTCAAATCAACAGTGAATCCGTCTTCCGGCAACAGTTTAAAGAACTTTTGCAGATTCTTCTCGAATGCACGTAAATTAGCAACATTGGTTCTGATGAAGGTTGGACGCATCAGAGTACGCGAATGCTGCCAAAATGGGCCATCCTATCCCCCGCCGTCAGTGATAACCCTTGAAATAATATTTTCTATGAATACAGGCAATGGGATTGTATTAAAAAATGATATGGATCTACGGGATACGTTGCCGAATCAAGATTGCTGATGAAAATCTCAATAGTGAGGTGAGACTATGATCACCATTGTAAATACATCTTCGCCTAAGAAAGGAAGGGTGGCAGATCTCCTCGGAGGCTGTAATCCATAATCTTTGAAGTTTGTACCAAGCATTATCTGCACATTCAAAGGGACAATGGTAGTAATCATGGGAATACCAAGTAGAATCGCCGAAAATGTATCTCCGTATTGTTCGAAACGAGCGGTCCATCTTTCTAATAGTTTGGACTGCTTTGCATGCTCCAGATTATCGCGAAAGAGATCATAGCCAAACATTCGTTCTGTATGCGGATGTCTGGGAGGACGTTGACAGCCGTGTTCGTTTCGGATTTGCTGGCGTTTTCTCCAAAGGCGCAGGAAAGAAAATAGAAAGTAGAACACCGAGACAAGTAGGAAAGCCGACGCGCTATTTATCATTTTAATCATATTTAACGACTGAAATAAATGGCAGGTATCGGGAGTACTGATAACAGGAAAAGTTTTGATGTATATGATTTCCCATGGCCCCCAACAGTTGATCAGCTTCTTACAGAGCTTGGGCTTTGTTCGGCACACGGAAACTTCTCTTCGCATTTAACTGTTATTACAGCTCTGATAACAGATTTTACAACTGTTGCAATACAGTGCCGCAAGATGACTTAGCCATAAATGAGATAAGAGGCAATTGAAGTTTTAGCGTATGTTTTCCCACCACTTAGCGAGTAGAACGTTTCCGGGTTTGATGCAGACTTCATTATCATTCTGTGAATCCGGAGCCAGCGAGGCGACAGAAAGGGCGCAGACAGATACAAAATAAACAATCAGGCCAAGACGCAAACGGAGAATGGCGAGAATGGCTAGTAATGATGGACGGTCATGTGATTGATTCACACGGACCCAATCTGAAGACAATCCTCAATGCTCATCGCTCGAGCTTTCCGTTTTATCCTTGATACCCAGTAAAAGCTTCACGGTCACAAGAATGGACGAGACAGGTGTGTGGAATATTCATTTTATTTATTGATAACTAATTCATTAAGGCCATAATACCGTCCAGGTAAAGCGCTGTGCTAGACTAAAAGTGAACCAAAAAGAGATTAAGAAAGTTGAGCTTCACGAAGTTTCGATGGCTCCAGCGCAGATTCTACGTGGTGGTTCATCATCGGTGCAACGCTCTTCAAAAAGCATGCAGCTACACCGTTTGCTGCAACAAGAGAAGCCACCGCGATCCAAACATATTTCCATGCCTCCGCACTCTCATTAACAAGAACCGGTGCATTGGTGTTAGCAGCAATTTCTGGTCCTACCAGCTCTGCATATTTGTTGTCATATATAGCAGTGAAAATGGTGATGCCGATAATACCTCCCAATGCACGACAACTGATACTGACAGTGGCCGCTGTTCCGATTAAGAATGCTGGAACTGACAACCCCAAAGCGACAGCTGGAATGGTGGTAGTCACAGCAGTTCCGAGACCGAAGAGGGTGGTGAAAGCAAGTGCCATTGGGAGTCTGGTTGAAGTTACCATGGCCATAAGACCTGTAAATAAAGCACACCAGAATAAGGATCCGACCAGCATCCAACGGAATGATTTTGTTGAAGCCATTACCCACCCAGCTGGAATACACCCAAATGCTGATGTAATCAAAAATGGTGAGAGAATGACAGCAATTCGAACAGCATCGGTTGTAAACAGATCGAAGATCTCCTGCGCGTACAAGACATTGACGCCAAGAAGAAGCATACCATCTATTGTGCAAACGAAAAGCAAGATGGGAAAGTTCATGGTTTCGAAAAGTCGATGATCAAAGATTCCTTCAGTGACGACAAAAGCCTCGTAAAGTCCGAAAATTAAGAGGCCAATACAACCAGCAGTAAGCGTTCCGATGCATTGTCCCGAGCTCCATGGATGAGTAGTTCCACCCCAGGTAATACCTAGGATAAGGGAAGCAAACGACCCTGACATGAGGAGAATTCCAATGTAATCGATTTCTTTTGTGATAGAATTGAGCATTTTGTGTCGACCAAGTCTAGGACGAGGTGGAAAATATGAGAAGGCGATCATAACAGCTGTTATTCCATAGATGATGCTGTTGAAATAATAAGCCCATCTCCATCCACCAGCTCCTCCGGCATTCATCTTCACAAATGCGGCAGCAAGAAACGTGCCAAGAACAACGAAGGCGCTAGCCATGGCTTGTGAGGCTCCCATAGCCCAGGGACGAAGTCTGTTTGGGATAATCTCCTGGATTGCTGAGATCGATACAATCTATGTACTCGTTAGTCCAAGGCATGTCAGGAAATGTGCAGTTTAACTCACACATCCAGCATTAGCAGCTCCATTCAAGATGTTGCCTCCGATGATCTGAAGAATGTTTTCTGCTTTTCCTGCAATTACGCTTCCAATCAAGCCAAGAATGGCACCACAAACCATAAACCATTTCTTTCCTACTCTGTCACTCAGACTACCGAAAATTGGACCAAGAGCGAGAACGACGAGGAAACTTCCGTTGGCAATCCATGATGCGAGCGCTGCATCTGCCGGACTCTTAGCAACAGAGGCGACCTGAAATTTTATGACGGTGTTGGCCTGCGTAAAATTACTGTTAGTTGTTGCTCATCTAAGATCGTGGAAGGTACCTACGGTATTGGCTAGAGCAGCACAAGAATTTGCCATAGAGAGAGAGATAAAAGCTATGATAGTCTTCCAACTCAGTTGATAAACACTCCCCGGCTCATCTTCATTTCCTTGCACCACAACATCATGATGATGATGATGATGATGACGTCCGTGGTTCTGTTCAATAGTCTCTCTCTCGCTATACTCCACGGTATCGACTTCGGGTTTTAGATCTAACATGATGGATGAAGAATGGAATGACAAAACGTAGGATATTCTTGTCTTTCCCAGACTTCATATACTTGCAGAGTCCTCAAGCACGGGCATATTCATGATATACAAATTAATAACCCCGTGGGGAAGTGGACGGCCCGCTATAATTTCGCTCGATGTTAATCAGAAAAGGTTATCATTTGGTATTGGGGTATGGGGTACCCCGTACGCGCGTACTAGATCCATTCCGTCCACCTTCGTTCGTGGGATTCCCGACAAATGGCAACATCTTGATTGTCAAGAAACCAGCAAACTAATAATCCACTTCTTAGTGGTGGTCAAAATCGTGCATTAGGGTCAGTATATTCTCTATCAATGTGGGGACTTAGCTTGTTGTGGTTAAGCAATTGTCGGAGATTAGCCTACTGGGGCGAAGGCTGCAATTCTGCGGGCTGAAGAACGAAACAAATTGAGACTCTCAAAGTGTCAAAGATTCCAAATCAAGCATGTCAGGGCAGCCCCGTGTCAAAAGCCAATTGATTACACCGCCATGCGCATATTATTCTGGTATCATAGCAACAAAGTTTATTATGGAGAAGTCATCTCTAATTTTCAGCTGCAAGCATTTGTGATCTTCAGCTTAGGCGAAGACGTCACAAAATTTGTTACTTCTTCCAAATCCCTGGTGCAATCTACCAATCGACCTCTTAAAGCTGACCCTTTTCCAGCAGCCAAATAAACACACGTCCAAGCTGGCAAATCGATACTGAACTCTGGGTGTGATTTATGTAATCTGGCCATCATTTCAATGACATATGGTGCCTCAACCTTTGTCTTCTCCGGATAAGCGGTCTGATGCAACCCGGTTTTGATCTCACCAGGATGAATCGAGAATACTGAGATACCGTTTTCCTCGAAGCCAAACGTATCCTTCTGAAGTATATTCAATTCTGTTTGTAAAACACCTCCAAATCTTGTAATGGCTGTCTTTGCACACGAATACCCTGAAGCCCAAGGCAAGTCCGCACCTGCTGCTCGAGAACTCGTGAAAATTATCGTACCGGAATTCCGTTTCTGCATCGAAGGAAGAATGAGTCTTGTTAATTCTGTTGGCGCTTTAATGTTGATTTCCATTTGCTTCCACCATTCGTCTGCGTCTGTAATATGGAAGGGCATAAAAGTATTTGTGCCAGCATTGTTGATAAGAATATCGATGGGGCCAAGTTTGCTAGTAACCTAATAGGTCATTCCATCAGTATGTGTTTCAATAAAGGACCAAACTCTCGGTCGTACCTCTTGAACCAAACGTTCCAAATCGGATCGCTTACAGACATCTCCGACAACTCCGATTACTTTCACATTTGGGAAAGATTTCGAAAGTTCTTGAGTAGTCTCGTCTACCTGATTTTCAGTCCTTCCAGTTATTGCGACAGATGCCCCCGATTTTGCAAGAGCATATGCGATATGTTTCCCAATACCTCTACCTGAGCCTGTAACTAGCGCAACTTTACCAGACAAGGACTGTTCGAATTGCTTAGGTTCAATTGAAGGATATATTGAGATTCTCAGGGTAAACTCTGGTTTCGACATCTTTTTTTTTGTGTAATATTCTTCTGAGAATACTCTACAAAATGATTGTGACTTCATAATAGCACCATGAAAATAATAAGCAGGAGAAATTACTCGGCAGTCCACTTACGTGGAGATACAATTTGGGGTAAGCGGGGGTGGAGTGTGGGGTGTAGTTTACTTCACGTCCACCCCCACTACTGACTCGAAGTTTCGGCAACTCGTATCGGCAAGTGCCAAGTCTATCATTAACTAGAGCTTCGATCAAAAGCTTGTGTATTAAACTTCTTTGCTTAGGTTATTCCCCACCATAGTATTGATAGGAATTCCACATTGCCATTGACATTTTACATACACCAAAGTATTGAACTAAGACGACCATGACTTTCGAAATTTATATCCCTTCAGAACTCACATTTCAAGACTACATTGCTATCACGCAATGCAGTAGAACTTTAGCTGATGGGTATGATCGAAAAGTATGAAGCTCGTGATCTAGTCATCAAAGTTCTTCCTACTAACATAAACACTCAGGACAAAGCACGACTTCGGGCATCTCTTGCACCAAAAGTCATAGTGGACTATACACTCGTCGTTCCTGAATGGGGCCAACAAACCTTCACTGCAGACGCTTTCGTAGAAGAATGGCTCGGCCCTATAAAACTCGGAGTGAAAGCTCTCGCCACCCAACATCTGTTAGGGGCGCCCTATTTCAAGAGTGTTACCGACTCAGAAATCATCGTAGAATGGCAGCAACTAGCAAGTCATGCACGAAAAGTGGTAGGCGAGGATTACAGTCACCCGCATTGTAAGATTGGGGAGACGTCGGATGGGAGATCGTATATGCAACAGACATTTGTGAAGGTGGAGGGGCAGTGGAGGATTTCGGTTATTAAGCCGGAGGTGATATATCATACGGGTGATTTCAGGGCGGTGGGAAGACCAGATGAGTAGAGATAATATAAATATCCAACCTCCTTCCTAAGTGCCAAGACATGTATATTTTTGCCAAAAGCCTGAATTGTACCTCTTTTCTTCCAAAAACAAATGCCGAATAATTTGCAACCTCTAACTGCTCGTTGACGCATCTAAGTTTCGACCAAGATTGTGTGAAAATAGTCTAGAAATGAACATAAAATTCTGTCGATAATAAAGCCAATGTCAACGAGCCTTATTCTAACAACAAAGTACTTCACAAACTCACTATGCAAAGGAGATCCTTAAAAAGATCATGACTACTTTCCAAACAATTACCAAGCCATGATCCTCGTTCAAAGTTCCATTTTCCAACATTATTCATGCACCCATCAAATCTAAGCTTCCAAATCAGATGCGAAGTGCTCTAGACCACGATCTAACATCCCGCGCCTACTGCATACCGTCCACTTCACCTCTGCATGCTCTATCCATCTCATGAACTTTCGCCTCCACCACCACTTCCCGACTACGTTCGCTTCCATCAACTTGGTTAGCTCTCCACTTTACCACCCGCTCGGGTTTACATGGAACTCTTTGATTGTGGGTAAATAACCTGACGTTCATCTATAATACTGGGATAATCATTGCTTAGGATAGTGCCTGTCTATACTTCCCTATTACAGTGTTACTCTGAGCTCCTAGCCAATCGGACTCCAGTCGTCATTTCAGCATAAACTCCCCGTAAAAGAGTGCCAGATGAGAAAGCAAACTCGCCGCGGTCACTCCTAAATCCTACCTAGCCATATCATCTTCGGCCTTTTGGTCTATGTCCGAGTCAAGAGTTTTTGGGGCTAGATTAAGACAAACTTTATATCTTACCGCTCCAAATTATCCACTTTTGTCAATTCATGCATAAATAATTATCATTTCTCTCCTCCACTGAGTAAGTTTCTCATTCATCCCGTGATAGGCTTTTCCTGATGTTCTTGCAATACTCATAGTTTTTGTGACCGCAGTGGTGTTAGCTTGTTTTCCGCTTCAAATTAAATATATTGTCAAGTCTGATACGAGAAAGGTGAAGAGAAACTTAACGAAACTAATTTGGATGATGATGTTCTGTGAAGTAGTTGTCATCGATCCACAGGTGGTTCTCAATGTTTGGAACGATCCATAATTCTTGCTCTTGATTTTTACCAAATTGGCAATTGCTTGGTCGGACTACTTGCTGTCAGGTGTCGCCGTGGTCACCGAGATCCGGCTCAAATTCTAAATTTCTGATCGCTACCGTAATAATCTATTTCGTGACAAACATCTGCTGAGTGCTAAGGCAAAATTCAATATTAAAAGCTACCGTACTCACCTTGGCTGTTAGACTCAACGCCCTAATTGACATGACTCTTGAGGTACACCATCCACCAGAACTCCAAATCTATTCACTCTTCCAGCTGTAAACGAGTTGGTGACAGTCAACCGGAAGTCTCCCGTAATAATAGAGATTAAGAATCCAATCAAAACCAACATTTCAATCAACAGCGTGTCTAACATCAAAACATACAATCCTCAAATTATGAAAGCCAAATTTACAACATGGTAACACAAAACAAGATGCAAACTACATTTCGACAGACAATGTAAAACATTGCAAAGAGGTAACGTACTAGCAAGAGGTAGAACAGTGAGAAGATGTGGGTAACGTATGGCAAAAAAGGCGGGATATCAAAGGGAGGCAGTGTATCAAAAGGAGGCGACACAATGGATTTGGACGCAAGGAGACACTACATATACAAAACTCATAAGATCAAAAAATTGCAATGCTTCACCAACAATGCGGTGTATTTGCTGGAAATAGGTTGGTAGAAATATTCATGTCATAATGCAATAAACTATGAATTCGCAAAGCTCTGAAAGCATGCATGGTGAAAGGATAACTTTTGGTTTCTGGGGTATACTAAAGACTCAACCAAACGCGGATGCGAACATACGACATACAATTGGGGAGACTGACACCCCCGAACACCAATCAGGCTTTTCAGTGGCCCGAATTGCATTCCAAAACTGGATATTTCTTTTTAAAACTGGAAGCTCGGAATCATTGAATCTGATTTAGTATCCTACGTGAGCTCCACAGTCCAATTTTCTTCGAGAACAAAAGCTCAACATGAGAATGATAACTCGAGCGAGTGTTGCTCCATGAGCGACTGGACTGCAGAGTTTTGCGGGCGCCTCGAGGGGCTTCAAATGTCACTAGATAATGTTGGCATACGCCTCAGTCTGTGGAAGATCTCTACTTCTCTCCCAAACTTTATGTGGATCGCTTTCCATTCTGCCAGTCTCGGGGTTCTTAATATCCCAGCAAATATGCCTAGCATTAGTACGTAGAAACGTCCGATCCTTATTCTGGTACTTTTCGGCTAAAACTCGATAACGACTCCTGAAGACGTCGGTATCGATATAAGCCCCTTTAAACCATCTCTCTCCAGCTGATGTATCGAATTCTTTTCTGCCATGAAGTACCCTCCGGTTGTTGAAAATAACACATTCCCCCTCTTGTAGTCTGTATTCATACATATTTTCAGGTGCCTCTACTCGGGATGCAAATTGCCTCAATGCTTTAGCTATTGGTAGGGAGCCAAATGGCTCGTCAAATGTCGCTTGAAATGGCGGCGAATAATTGATGTATTGGATGTTGTTGTCATTGGGGGATGAAGAGTTCCCACCTTTCTCAGAGTGTTTCGATATTACAGGATGTTTATAGTGATAATGCTCCCCAGCATTGCGATAATGGTAGCCAACCTTCTTAGTACTCAATTGAATGTAATTATCTTTATCAAGTTGTCTGGCAGCGTGGAAAGCATCAGAAAATATGGATGAGCCACCTGAACAGGTATTCCGCAGGCAGTGAAGAAATTGAAATCCCGGGGGATTAGCCATATAGAGAAGATCCATGTGTAAACCCAGATATTGGGAAGTATATGCTACATTTTTAGGTTGAGGAACAGATTTGACATCCCAGGTAACTCCATAGAAAGTATCCCGAAGATTGCCAATTCGCTTTGCGATATCAACAACTGAAGTTTCTGACTCTGGCACATCTCTAAGTATGAGCAGCCCATAATCCCGGAGCATGATCAAAGCTCTGAATAAACCTTCTTCACTGTTTATGTAGTCATCAAAAGTTACATATTGTAGCTTCTGAGCAATGGTTTTCGAATCCCATCTGATAGGTTTCACATCATTGTGACGATCGGAATGATAAGCCTTGAGTGAAGAATGGGTCTCAAAGAACTTCCTAGAAAACGACGAAACATGATCTGGTCCGTAGCCTGGAATATCGTCTTCCCAAGAAATTGTTAAATTCCCGTGTTCACCCTTTGTAGTAGCGGTAGCTTTGATATTAGGAGGAATATCAGAAGTTTGAAAGTTCTTTTGCTTTGTGGAAGGATCAACGCATCTATGGCAGGTACAAGAATCGCGGAGGAACAATGGAGGATAAGATACACCGTTGACCTTTATGGCCTGAATGTCATGAGATGAAATCTCAGGGCTGGAAGAGGATTTTACATCCTGACTCAGGTTAGCATAAATCTCAGTCGATCGCCAGGGGTGCTCAATAATACCTGTGGAACACGTGTCTGCTTGGATGTGGAAGATATGATCCGGAGACCTGGTTGGGCTGAAAATAGCCTTCGACTAATTTGAGAGATGCGCGGGGCAGCTAGAAAGCAACATGATCTGGCAGCTCGGTGACCACAGTTCAGACCAAGACGCAAGGCACTCATATTTGAAATTTCGTACTTTCACGGCGCGAGTGAAGGATCGATACTAATATGAGAACTTACTCTTCACCGAGGAATCATATATCAATCAGCCTTTACCGAGGTGATTATAGCATCAATGCCACGTGAGCCCCTCCACCAAGCTACATGATGATTGATCAAATGGAGCTTGGAGCTTGGACGATTTTGACAAGTTGAATTATGTAATCGCCCATCCATAGCTCCCGCTAACCTTCTTTTGACATAGTGTGCTTTAATTATTTGTTACTTTTCTACTTCTATGCCCCCCTAGGTCATGCAAATAGTCGTGTGGATTGATATTTATTC